GTGTGGGATACCATTGTCAGGGACATATGCTTGGCCAACCCACAGAGATCACACGCTCATGATTATGTGTGCTTTGACAAAAATGCCCATTTCCACCTTGTCACTTGCTCTATAATTAAAATGAGATAGCCAGGCATGGTGCTGCACACCTGTAAGCCCAGCTACCCAGGAGGTAGAAGTAGAAGGATCCCAGTCCAAGGACAGCCCAGGCAAAGTTAGCAGGTAAACTATATCCACAAAACAAACTAAAAACATAAGGATTAGGAATTCAAGTGATAGAGGGCAAGTTCAAGACCTCAAGTTCAAACACCAATGCCCACACTAAAGAAGGAAGTAAAATCAAATGAGGTAGTGCATTTCTTTGAGCATCATGAATGTCATAATACTTCTGATCTATGCTTAGGTCTCATGATTAGAAAAACAATTCTAAGAATCTAACTGATAACAAGTTCATACTACACAAATAGTTCTCTGGAGTCAACCAAGGCCTTTGTGAGGATGAAGCCATGTGATGTCTTGATGTTTTAATTACTAAAACAAATTTCCCAAGCAATGGGGTTGATGAGTTATTTTTCTTATTGTGACATGCATTTCTTATTCTGGCATTTCATTTTACAGCTTGCTTTTAAGTTCACTAACCCATGAAACTTTGAAATTAGTAGAGGAAAACATAGAGAAAGCACTTGAAGATACAAACCTAGGTAGGGACTTCCTGAATTGAACTCCAATAGCTCAGGAAATCAAAGCAAGAACTGACAATCAGGACTGTATCAGATGAAAGGAAAGAATTATCAGAGCCAAGAGTCAATCTACAGAATGAGAGAAGAGTTTGATAACTGTTCATTTCACACAGGATTAACATTCAAACTATACAAAGAACTCAAAAATATTGAACATCAAGCTGGGCACTGGTGACTCACATCTCTAATCCTAGCTACACAGGAGGCTGAGATTTGAGGATATCAGTCCAAAGCCAGACTGGGTAAGAAAGTCCATGAGACTCTTATCTCCAATTAACCACTAGAAAACTGGAAGCGGTGCTGTGGCTCAAAATAGTAGAGCACTAGCCTTGAGCTCAAAAGCTCTGGGACAGTGGCCAAGCCCTGAATTCAAGCTCCATGACTAACAAAAATAAATAAATAAACATCAAAATATCAAATAATCCAAATGCGTGACTGTTTTCAAGAGAAGTTCAAATGGCTAACAACCACAAGAAGAAATATTCAACATGCCTTAATTATGAAGGAAATGTATATCCAAGCAACACTGAAATTCCACGTATCCCTAATCAACAGCACAGCATTAACCAAGAAAATAAACAATATTAAATGCTGGTGAGGATGTGGAGAAAAAGGGGCCCTCACACCAGTTGGTAGGGGTGTAAACTAGTGCAGACAGACATTATGGAAGTCAATATGGAGTTTCCGAAAGAAACTAAAGACAGGGCTACCATATTGTTTTGCTCTCCCCCTCCTGGCATATGTCCGTCTACAGCTCAGATGCCTGTAAACCCATGTTTATTGTAGCTCCATTCACAAATCACCCTTGGTGCCCAGCATCAGACAAATGGATAAAGAAAACATGATATATATTCACTACAGAATATTATTCAGCCACAAAGAAGAATGAAATTACATGTCATTTGCAGGAAAAATGGATTGAATTGGATATCATCGTGTTACACAAAATGACAAGCCAGACGCAGGAAGACAAATAATGACCATTTTCTCTCCTATGCGGCATCGAGATCTAAAGGAATAAGAACCATAAACATAAAAGGGTTATTATTTCCCAGAGGAAGAGAAGCAGCTGAAGGTACCAGGGGAAAAGAGAGGGTGAGGGGGAAAGGATGTGACGGAAGTGCATCGTATCCATTTATGAAAAGGTCATAATGGCACCCATTTTTTTTTAATTACAAGAAAGATTTTTTCCAAAGGGTGGGGGGAAGTGTGGTAAGAAAGACTAATAGAAGAGGTGACTATGATCACAACATATTACATGCATGTATGAGAACATCCTAATGGAACCGCTCACTTTATTCAATTAATAGGCACTAATTAAAAAAAAAAGAGCTGATTTCAAAATGGATCTTCATATCTATTTCCTTCCCAGGAGCTGGGATGACACCCTTACATCAGGCCTTCTGAAGCAGAATTGATCTGGAGAAATACAGGACTCTGAATTTGACATCAAAGCTCACCAAAGGCTTGGCTCAGAATTCTACACATTTCTGTCCCTCTATCCTTCCCCTGTAGACACAGTTGTATTAATCAGCCTTAACAAGCTCCCTCCCCATTGTCTCTTACATAAATGCTCATTTCATTTTTAAAAATGTCTGTGTCTAATCTTGTCCTACTAGCAGTCTCTTCAAATAGCTTGGTTAAAGTCATTGATAAACCAAAACTGAGCAATGCTCTTTGGAAAATTATTAGCCTTATTCTTTTTTCCCTTTGGTGTTGGTCCTGGAGTTTGAACTAAGGGCCTGGGTGCTATGCCTGAGCTTTGTGCTCAAAGGCTAGTACTCTGTCACTTGAGCCACAGTCTCTGGCTTCTTGGTGGTTAATTGGAAATAAGACTCTCAGGGACTTTGCTGCCCAGGCTAACTTCAAATGGTGATTCTCAGATCTCAGCTTCCTGAGTAGCTAGGATTACAGGTGTGAACCACTGGCACCCAGCATTTGCTCATCTTTAACCACCTGGTTGGTCTATTTCATCATAAATTATTATAGTAAGATGCAATAATCTGGTCTCTACCAGTCCATAACAAATTCATAGGACACACAATATTTGACCATAAGTCATTCATCTCCTTTGAATTACAAATGACAAAGCCTCTATCAAGACCCACACCTCAGGCACAAGTTAAATAAATGATCACTCAAACTTTGGGAAGGATAAATTGATTCAGATTATAAAATTCATAGCTCAGCTTGGACTTTCATCTTATTTTTCAACATGAATGATATGCATTTGAATAATATGCAGCTTGAATAAAAACATTAACATCTTTAATTCCACACTAATCTCTCATACTCACTTGCAAAAAAAGGAAAACATATATTAAATATCATTCTCCTATTTAGTTAATATTATCCTCCTCATGGGATACAAATTAATCCCCTCATTATTGTTAAATACATTTAACATACTTCCACTCACCAAGAGAAAATATTATGAGCATCAGCACTAGCATTAAATTTGAAGATAAAAGTAGGACTTCAGATGGGCACTAGTGGCTCACTCCTGTAATCCTAGCTACTCAAGAAGCTGAGATCTGAGAATCACAGTTCAAAGCCAGACCAACCAGGAAAATCTGTGTTTTTTGTGTTTTTTGTTTTGCCGGTCCTGGGGTTTAAACTCAGGACCCGGGCATCATCCATGAGCTCCTTTGTGCTTAAGCCTAGTGCTTTACACTTGAGCCACAGAACCTCTTCCAGCTTTTTCTGAGTAGTTCATTGGATATAAGAGTCTCATAGACTTTTCTGCCCAGGTTAGCTTTGAACTATGATCCTCGGATCTCAGCCTCCTGAGTAGCTAGGGTCACAAGCATGAGTCACAAGCATCTGGCTATTTTCTAAGTTTAACCAAAGGTCTAGCCATGCTTTCTATTCATTTTCAATTCAGTCTCAACACAAGAATTCGTGGGCACACATTGTCTGATCTGCTAATTGCTCATCAGAGGCCACAGTCTAAATCAACCTTAAAGCTACAAAATTAAACAGAATCACCATTTCATGTCAGATGTGTTCATCTCTGCATGGATCCTTCGAGCAAACCGTACAAATGTCTGTATTAAATACTTGGATTTGTGTAATTGCCACTGCAAGGCTCACTAGGAATTCTTTCACTTAAGTTTCCAAAAAAGTAGGATTGAGCATGCACACATACACACACACACACACACACACATCACATCACATCGTATCACATCCTCTGTTGTAAAATAGAAGGGCATTGGAATTCAGGGTATCTCTGCTGTTTGGAGCATAAGAGCACATAATTTTGGTGCTCATCCTACTACTTATAAGCCTATAAATATTTATAAACCGAGCTATTAACCTTCTAGAGGGCCAATATTTTGATCATTCACCCATGGGTTTAATCAAACATCCTGAAGATCCTGAGACTCTATACAGAGAACATCAGGAATGATTAATTGAGGTACAAATAACTGGAAAGGTCAAAAAGCAAAGGATTCCGTTTAGGATCATGGGCAAAATACTCCAAGTTAGTGTCAAATATCGGAGGAGGAATGATAAACTCTAAGACCCTCCCCCCCTCCACTGCCAAATAACTTGAAATATCAATACTCACACTAATTTATTCATAGCTAAAAAGGAAACCTTTTTGAAGATGGACCTCCCTGTCTTCAATTAAAGTATTTGTTGGCAAGCATTTTGTAAAAAAAAAAAAAATGCATAAACAATTTGATGTTCTATCGGCAACATGGTTCTCCTTTAAGTGCTATTTTTTAAGTGCTGTTATCAGAAACACATCATGAAAATACATAAGAATCAAAGTGTGATTATAATGGAGATTGTGTTGCTGCAGGAGTGGCTAGTAACTAGGACAGTATAAAGAAGGAACCACGGGCTCAGCCATAGACTAAAGCATAGTCCTTAGCGAGAAGAAGAGCAATTACTCTGATCGTCTGTGTCCTGTAGGCCTCGTCCTCATTCTAGCTTTAGATGAAAATTGATTGCTGCATACCTTGTTTCCACTATCACGGGGTACCTCTGAAGTGCAGGGGCAACCTCACGCTTCATCATGCTGATTGACACATGACAGAGCCCGGAGCGACCCTACTATGGAAGGAGAAAGCTTGCCTATCCCACAGGAAGTTCTTGTTCAGTGACATATGCCTCTGTCTTGATCACTGCTTGTGCGAGAATTGAAATAAAGCAAGAAATGGCCTTTTGCAGAGTGCACTGTGTGAGAGAGTCTTCTGATTCATATTCATATATCATGCACGGGGGAGACAAGTTGTTTCTGGTACATACCTAAAATCCTGCCCAGTACTAGAGATTTCACTGCACTGAATTCTGTGCCTGACGACAGACGGACTCCTCTTCTTGTACTCTCGTCAATCTATGTAGTTTTCACGACCATCCATGGGGTTTGTTGTTTCATCAACAAAATGGCAGAAAGAAAAGAAAGACAGAAAAAAATGATAAAAAAAAAAAAAATAAGCAACTGTTAACAGCCCTAAAGCTTTAAGGAAAAGAGTGTTTAAAGACATGGTTTTTTAAGCCACTATTTTCTAGCCCATGCTCAGATACTGATTTCCTTCACCTTTTATCCCCTGATGTTATTCCTCTCCACTATAGAAGAAATCCACAACTGATAAAGCCAACAAGAAATTATGTGTTCTTTTTCACTTCAGCACGTTTACCTAGCAGGGTTTGTTTTTTTTTTTTTTTTTTTTACTGGAATCATGCTGCTAAGAAATTTTCTTGTATGTAGAGCTGGAGCATTAGTACTTTTCTTCAAAGCTACCACAGGGAGAAAGAAGTCCATTTTGCTGTGACTCACATTCTTCTCCAAAATTTATCCTGTTAATGCAGTCATTATTCTGTCCTAGGATTACAGCAGTGTTCATACCCATCAAAGGTCATTGTGATCCCTTGGAGTGAAGACGGTCCTAACTGTGGTTCATGATAAATGAGACATCATTTCTCTCTTAAGCGGAAGAAAACCAAGGCGAGAACTTCCATATTTTAAGACTTGGATATTGGTAATATATTACATAGGTCTGCTTCAAAACAACAACAACAACAAAACCTGACCACATTTGATAGTCTTGGTTTTTTTTTTATTTTTAGTGTTGTTTGTGTTGTTTTCTGCTTTTGTAATCCCTGGAAGACTACTAAAAGGTGATTTTGCTATTCTATTTGTGATTCAATTTCTGCTCTAGATACTCCATGCTGGGTAGGCAGAGTATGGCTCCTGTTAAGGTTTCCTGCATTACCTCTACAAAAAGCATGTCTTCTTCCCTGTTGAGCTTTATATGGTGAAGTTGTCCATCGGCCATGTTTTTCAAGTCAAAGTTAACAATATCAGGTTCTTGATATTTATTTAGCTTATACCTTATCTGCAAACTTCCTAAAGTAAGAAAAGGAGACATTTTTAGTAAAAAGAAAAAGAATCACATTTTAAAACCTACCTACAGAACTTCAGAATCCTTTTATTGTTGTTCGTTATTCATTTGCTGAAAAAGATTCACAATCATTCCATTGGATGCCCTCTCTAAACGTAACTCCTAAAAAACTATCCTCTTCTAAGTGAAATGATGTTTTCAAAATCAAGATGTCACTTTCTGGCCCTTTCATGACAACCTTATATCCACAACTGATAAAGCCAACAAGAAATTATGTGTTCTTTTTCACTTCAGCACGTTTACCTAGCATCTCTTTCATGACAACCTTATATTTCACCCCTAAAAGTTTAAGACTATGCATATTCAACTTTCTTCACTGACCTCTGACTTTAAAAAAAAAAAGAGTATTTCTGCAATGCCAGACTATGCTCTTTATTAACTCATATTTTTAATGCTAACTCATATTTTTTAAATACTTAGCTCACACTCTAGAAATACAGTTGAGTAATAAGATTATTATAAAGAAATGTTGTTTAACTAAAGATAAGCAATATTTTCAGGCGACCATAGGCAAACATCGGAACCAAATTTGGATGAAAATAACAGCTTAAAGCCAAGTTTTCCATTAGAATCAACATTCCTCACCTGTCTGCAGAGCTGTTAATTGGAGTGCCTTCGAATTTAGCAAGAAGACAAGCTTCAAGCTCAGGCATAGAGTTAGAGTAAAAGCAAATAGGCCGACTGAATGATAATATTTTTAATTGTAGTAACCATTGCCCTTGAGCCATATTGGATTTAGTTGCGTTGACATGTTTGTGTATTTGTATGTTTGTTCATCTTTCCCACCCAGAGAATTTATTACTAAAATTTTCACCTTTCATACAGATATAGGATACAGTAGACATCAGTGGCCTGTGATTTGTGTTTCTGTGGCCAAGTCAATACCGCGCATGCATGGACCAAGATTTTCCAGAACTGTTTCCTACTGCTCTGTTAGGAGACTGTTACTGGAGCCCGTGTGTCCTCTTATGGATACTTTCTTATGTATAATGCTGTTCCATCAATACTCCCTTAATAAGACTTACTTTGAAATGCAAGGAAATATTTACATACAATGAAACGTTGTACTCCAAAATGAACCACAAAATCCATCCCGGTATTCACCGGAACTAGTGAAGAACTTGGATGAAACACAAGCAACTCATTTAGAGAAAGGAACTCCCTAGTTGCGTTGCCAGGCAAAATTATTCACATAAATATCTCAAGGCATCTTAATGACTGAAAGGCATCTTTTGTAGATCAAATGTACAGGATCATAGTGAAGAAGCAAAATGAACATAATGAAGAAGCAAAAAACCTAAGCACATTCTTTTCTCCCTGGTTATTGGAGTTTTGAAAAGCAAGAGTGATGCATATTGTCACTGCCCTAATAGTCTAATTAATTTGCGTCTCTCCCTTTCTCCCTCTCTCTCTCTCTCTCTCTCTCTCTCTCTCTCTCTCCTTCTCTCTCTCTCTCTCTCACTCACCATTTCTGGCAATGATAATCGAAAGGTATTCTTTGTAAAAGGAGCTCATATACAGCAGCAAGCTTGGGGAGCGTGTTGTGCGGAAGCTAACTTCGATCATTTCCCTGCTCAGCTTCATATCGCCATGAAAGGACGCGGCATGAGAACTGGAGTTTTTACTCAAGGAATAATTTTCTTGAAAATTGTAAATCACCGATGAGCCAGTTCCAAAATAGGCAGAAATCTCTGAAATGACAGGCACATTTTACATTAAAAAAAAAGTCAAAAACCTTTCAGAACAAGGAAGATTTATTAAGGTGCACTTATTGATATGTTACTATTTTAAAACAGCAAGCTCCACCGATAGAATAGGCCCTAATTAACATAACACACTCAATTAATAGGGCTTTCACAACAGCTCTTAAAATGGCTGTAGGTTAGGATGACATGTAATTAATTCCTTCATGTAACATCCTAGTTGCAAGCTTGGCATTGTCATCTGAGTTCATATAAGAGCCAAACATCTAGTATTATACCACCTTAAACATCAAATTTCTTATTTAAATATTAATTCCCCATCTATTTATTTGTAGGTAGTATATACTAATTCTCCTCTAATCAGAAGAAAGAAGTATGAAGGACACTTTTGATTTCCAGGAGCAATAGGAAGGAATTTCATCATGTGTGTGCATGCATGAGCATGCGTGCGTGCGTGTGCGTGCGTGTGCGTGTGTGTGTGTGTGTGTGTGTGCATGTGCACATGTGCACATACACATGCCAGCACTAGAGCTAGAAATCAGGGCCTGGGCGCTGTCCCCTAGCTTTTTCATTGAAGGCTGGGGCTCTACCACTGAGCTACCTACCACCTGGCTTCTACCACTTCTAGCTTTTTCATGGTTAATTGAAGTTAGTCTCATAGACTTTCCCGCTTTAGCAGGCTTTGAACCAAGGTCATCAGCTCTCAATATCCTAAGTAAGTCGGCCCCTTTTTTCTGTGATGCTTTCTTAGATTTATTATGCATTACAAAAAAGAACTCTGTGTCTAGCATTAGTGGGAGAGAGAGGAAAAGATATTTTCTTGTCAGGAATTAACCAAAGGATTCACCGCCTGTTATATATCATTTAACCAAAGTCTCGTATTTTACCTCTGTGGGATGTATATCTAAAATTTAAACACCGAATAAGCCACATATATATGCATGCAAAGAAAGAGAATAGTAGGATGAATAAATTTGCTTTGAATTCCTGAACTCATTCCTCTCCATTTCTATAGAGCTCTGTTGTTTGAACATAACATATATAACTGATAATACGGTCTAGATCACAGAGGAATATTTTGATTCCTTTTAGTTTTTCAGGAACTTTTTAACTGATTGCTTTTATTACCCGTGACACCTTGCATCAAAAGCATGCAAGCAAAAAGACATCCAAGCTTTGCGCTTACGAGATTGAACTAGAAACTATATCCGGCAAAGAAAGACATATGCTTAGAGAGAAGGAAGTCTTAAGTCCACCTTAAACAAAAATGTCTCCACACTAGACCCAGCAGGGTGTGCTTACTAAATCAAGTTGGATTTGAAATGATAGCTTATTCTTGCTAACAGCAGATGCCTTGAAAAGCACATTTATGCCAAGTTTTCATTAACTACTCCCAATGCTGTCTTAGCACATCAGGCAGGAGTTTCTTTGACTTGGAGCCAATCTCTGCTAGCCTCCTTCGGGGAAAAGTTCAGGAGCCCAGAGATAGTCAAACAAAAGTAAATGAATTTAAATTAATTGGCTGTCAGCTTTCTATGAGAAAGTATGAACATATAATAAATGTTTGTATACTCAGAGAAGTCTGTCCAGAACACTTACTATGACACTCTGTTCTTTGTTTCTGCCAGGATGTGAGTAAAATAAGAATGAAAAATAGTCTGCTATTCTATTTCCTCAGCAGATATCCATATCAGATCATAAAATATCTGAGGGTCCCAATACTGGTTACACATCAATACTCTGTGTGTGTGTGTATGTCTCCTAGGGCTTGAACTTGGGGCCCAGGCATTGTCCCTGAACCTTTTTTGTTAAAGACTAGTGCTCTACCACTTGAGCCACAACTCAGCTACAGCTTTTTGGTGACAAGTGTCTCACAGTCTTTACTATCCACACTGACTTCAAATTTTGATCCTCAGACCTCAGCCACCTGAGCAGCTAGGATTTTCAGGGGTAAGCCACCAGCGGCTGGCCACATCTGGCTTTTTTTTTGAGGGGGGGTATTAATCAGAGATAAGAGTCTAACAGACTTTCCTGTCTGGGTTGGCTTTGAACCTTTATCCTCATACCTCAGCAGCTTTCCCAGGTAGCTAGGATTACAACCATGAGCCACTGGTGCCTGGCACACATCACTATTTAAAGAGCAATAATTATTGGGCATAATCCAAAACAAGCAAAAACCAAAATACAACTTCCTACATTTCCTTGCATTGATGGACATCTTCATCAAAAATAACAACACAGAAGAGCTTTGAAAACACAGAACTGTCTCACAGGGCTGAATGCTGTGCCCCAACTCTTACCAGATGACGGACATTAGCTAGAAAAGAAAGCAGATACCTGAAGGTAACTATCTATAGATTTGTTTTTTTCCTGCAAGAGATACTTACTGTTTTTTCTTCAAGGACTGAGTCAACTATATTTGAGTTAGGCAGAATCGAAGGGAAGACATCCGGTTGGCATTCACTAGATATGATGCAAAGAAATTCACCAATAGCAACGTCTTTGTTCCCATATCTACACAGAGAAGCCCTGCGGGGTGTGTCGAGGGTCATGAGTGTCAGTCTGTCTCGTCTCACCTACCGTTGGAGCAGAATGGCCCCGTGTACGCCGAGGCCGAGCAGTCACAGAAGAACCCACTGGGCTTTTCTCTGCACTTCCCTCCGTGGCGACACAGCTTTCCGTAGCTGCCACAGTGTCCAGGACATCCAGGCTGCACCCCAGGTGTCACCTTGGCTCTTTCTTCCAAATCCAAGGTCATCCCGTTCAACTGCAGGGACCGGATGCAGCCCAGGAATCCTCTCTGTCTGGTGGCTGTCCCACCTAGAAAGGAAATACTGCAAATGCAAGCATGTTCCCAGGTGCCTTAATCAGAGGCCCGACAAGAGAGAGCCAACCCTGAGCTGACAGAGAAGAGGAAGAATGAAAGCAACAGTGGTAATCTGTGATTGTAGCAAGTATTGAACTTAAAGGCTTCACCTACCAGGCAGGCTACTGTACCAGCCCAATACATACCCCGCCCTTGATGCTTTTATTATTGCTCAAATAGGATATTGTTTTGCGACCAGCCTCCACAGTCCTCCTCTGTTTGCTTCTACCATGGCAAGAATGACAGGCATATGCCACTTCACCAAGCTTTTCCTTGGTTGAAATGATCTCCACGCTGGCCTGGAACTGTAATTCTCCTACAGGTGTGAGCCACTGTACTCAAATCAAAACACTTTTTCTGTTGGGGTGAGGGTACTAAAGTTTAAACTCAGGGCCTTTGCTTCCTTGGATTGCTTGCTCAGCAGGTACTCTACCACCTGAACCAGGACTCCAGATCTACTTTTTGCAGGCCAATTGGAGACTGAGTCTCACAGACTTTTCTGCCTGAGTTCTCATGGAACCACAGTCCTCCAGATCTCAGACTCCTGCTCAGCTAGGATGATAGGTGTGGAGTCACCGGCATTTTCAGATGTAGAAACATAATTTTATTTTTATAAAGTTGCATTTATTTTTTTAATCTAAAAAACAGATTTCTTAAGCTTTTACTTGTAGACTTCTTTTTTTTGGTCAGTCTCTTTATTTCAAAGAACAAAATAAAACCCACACCATTAACTTGCATTCAAAACAGCAATGCATAATGTGACTGATTTTTGTTTGCAATTTTAAATACACCTCTCTGGATTGGCAAATGCAAATGTATCTGGAAAACCTGATCCCAGATCTGTTTGTTTTAACTTCATGAGAGTTATTAAAGAATCCTTGAGCGTTTCCAACTTGACTAGGCCTTGTTCTGGTCTTCCGTTTAGAAGGAACATCAGCATGAGGGCAAGAATCCTATCCGGGACTTTTCTCTGATGTGTTTTCCGGCAGTTGGTATAGCATTCACTGTGTATACTTGGGTAGACTGCCAACGGCAGCTGGGGAAGGTAAACACTAAAGCAGCAGTAGAGTCACACCTGCTGACCACGTGACCACCACTTGACCACCTGACAGAAGTCCTCAAACTTCAAGGATTATGTGCATGCGTGGAGGGTTCCTGATAAATGCAGATCTGGGGGCTGAGCCTGTGATCCAAACACGGGGTTGGGAGTCTAATTCATCTCACTGGTCATCCTCAGCAATATAACCATGTGACCAGCCTATGCAGGGCACAAGATGACTTGCACACCCACTGGTGTGCAAGGATGCCCTAAGGTGATACTTGAAGTCAGAAGACACTGCCCTGAAACATAAGGAATCTGGACACTTGTACTGAGCAGCGACTGGATGGCGGCAGAGTTGTCTTACCAGACGAGTCTCCATCGTTGAACAGCTGGCAGGATCTCTTACCCACTCCATAAAACATCTTCATTCTCATGTTCTCCTCTCCCAATTCATTAAGCTACCTGCAAATCTAGCCTTAATTACTTGAGCTCTCCTCATCCACTGAGATGAAACAGCTTTATGTAGTTCAGACCTTGCTCCAAAAACAAAGTCCTAAAAACTCTAAGTCCATCTTTGTCATCATTTACTGAGTTTGACATTTCACTGCTTTCCTTCACTGGGGTCTCTTGTCATTGGACTACATTAGACAGGACGACCTCATTCACTGGGCACCGACAGCTCATAGAGCAATGCCCAGTGCACAACAGCTATGATATCCATTCGTTCCTTCATCCATCCAACCACCTGGCATCAGCTTAGGATACCCAGGGTGGAAGAGGGGACCCAGAGATGCTGAGGACCAGATACATGGGACATTTCTGAGTAAGTTACTTGACAGGGAATGAAAGACCTTGTCAATGAAATTTTTGAGAATTTAGACTGGGGAGACATTAGCACCCACTTAGAAGTCAGACACAAAGACAGAATGGTCTCTATGCCAATGGTTGACATCAATGGTTTGCTTTACAGAATGCATGCAGCTTCAACGAAGGCTTGGGTTCTGAGCGTGTGGGGTTTGCTTTATACAAACTCACAAGCATGGGGTGGGGGCTGACACTCCCCATTTCTGTTTCTGACTCTTCATGTTTAATTCCTCCTGTATTTACTCCAGTGCCTGCTATTCTCCACACCTCTCTTCTCCCCTTTCTCTCCCAGCTCTTCTGTTTCCCCACGAAGCTGATGGACTCACTGGATTCTCCTCTGCAATATGCCCTCTGCTGATGTAATTCATGGAGACTGGAGCTTGCAGTCTTTAGTAAAGGTCTTTCCCAGCTAAGCCAGTCCATAGCCTCTGCTTACTCTTGACACAGGAAAACACTGCAGAGAGCTGGGTGCTCTTAAGATTAGAAGTATTCCTTGGTGGATTTCATACCACCATCCATTGTGATCTTGAGATACAACGCAGAGTTCCTGGTGACATCAAGTTGCTTCTACAGAATATCCATGTCTCTAATTCAGGGCTCCTCTTAGCTTCCTCCCAGTAGCAAAATAATAATAATAATAGGTAATTTGGGGTCTAATAACTACAGTCAGCCTACTTTTGTCTAGTCTAATTCATCTTCTCTTTGCTTTAAATGATGAGGGGCAGATGAACTCTCTAGAGAAAGAGTGAGAAAATGCAGTCATAGTCAGTATACAAGGTGTGTATGTGAACCTGGAACAAGGTAGCGTGAGGGGGCGCGTCAGGTTGGGAGAGATGGGTGAGGCCGATGGAAGGGGCGACACTGATTCAGATGCATTGTGCTCACAAACTGACATGTTGAATTGAAACCCCTCTGGACAACTACTTAAAGAAAATAAAAACCAGATCGGTACATGGATGGATGGGTAGATAAGAGAGAGAGAAAAAGAGAGAGAGGAAGACTGATGAGGAAATTGGGGTAGACAGAGGCTCAGGAATCGCTGACCATAGGTGCAGTTAAAGAAATATAATAACTACTTCTAGTTAGATATGCAGTCTAATTTTAGAATCCATAGGTAGCCTTCATTCAAAGGTGGTCCCTTTTCTCTCCACTCCCAAGTCGGATTCAAAGGGAAATCTCTTCAATTTTCTCCTGCAAATCAGATCATCTTTGCTTGGCTTGGCATTTAACTATTCCCAGGTTGGCTCAGCAGCTTTATGCTGGGCAGTGTGTGACATTTTAGGGACAACGTAGGATGTGATTTCTTAAAGAGATTACAGTCTAGAAAGATATTGAGACAGAGAAACGAATGGTGTTGATGGCAGAAACAGATACGGGGGAGAAGAATTGAGAGAATGTGGTTATTAAGAGGAAAAAAAGCATGTGTGTGTGTGTGTGTGTGTGTGTGTGTGTATGAGTGAATTATTAAGTTGAAGTAGAGAAAAAACCAACTCCTAACTTTGCAAACCTAATTTCTTCATTCCATACTTCCAAAGAGTTTCTGTTTTCCTGATCCAAAAGTTTTTCAAGGTATCTGTACCTTTATCAGAGGACATAATGTCTAATTAGACATAAATAGACAGATCACACATTCCGGACGATTTCTACTTTGCCACTTGGTTTTAAGTAACTCTTTTTTTCACTTTTCAGATGTAACTCTGAAAAGCGTGGCTCATGTAAATAAGATTGGGCTTGAAAGCTTAATTAAAGATTGCAATGCCTTTCCAGGGTTAGAGTATGTCCAATTAAAATGAGTTGCAGTTTGATTAATTGATTCCGGATGTTTCTGCTGAGCTATTATGTTTGGAACTATCTTCCAATTAATTTTCTATCAATTTACTAGCCATGTTCTATCAGGCATAATGAATTCTGGAACTTCACAGACGCTGTGTATCTTGAGAAGCAAATGTCCAACTTCCCTATGTTACTGGATCTCAATCAAGCCGTCGGCCTGAGTAACGGGATTGAGGTTTTAGCGCCCAAGGAACCAAGCGAGGTGCTGAGCGGACTAAATTAGGCTCTACCTGTTGGTCCAACACTTTCATCGCATTCATTACTCTCAGGAAACTCGTCTAAGTGACAGATGTTATTTTCATGAAATTGGAGCCAGCAGCTCTTTCCTATGCCAATTTTCCACTACTTTTTGTGTCAGGAAGACCTTTGAGATTACACTTTGATTTTTTTTTTTTTTACAGAAAAAGGCAATTTATTCATGTGCTGTGCTGAGATATCATGGAGGATTAATTGGGAATGACTGAGTAATTGGCCCAGGAGTTCTTAAAGAAAGAAAAAAATACATGATGCTCATACCTCTCTTTAAAAATTCAAGGTTATAAAAGCTAGCAGGGCAGGGCCCACAGGCTCTCCTTGACCTTGATGAGAAGGCAGGAGGAAGACAGGTAAAGCGGGCTGACCAACCAGCACAGGGCCAGCCAGCAACGGGGCATGTGGACTGGGCCCAGGTTCAGTGCGAAGAATGAAAGGAAATGGCCTTCTGGATCTAGAGCTCTGGGTTTGAGTCCTGACGATGTGCAGCCATCCTGAGAGGAGAGGATCTTCCAGAAAAGGAGGGTGTGAGACAGTGGGGTAGACTGTCGGACTGGAAGCTCAGCTTTCATTTTACCATGCTCTGTTCTTGTTGAGCACAGTCCTAGATTCACCGCATGGAGGAACACCATTCATGTTGATTCTTGTGGGTGCAGCCCACTACGGCTCTCTGGTTCAACCCTAGTTGGGTCTGTCTTAAAGAAATGAACTGCTTGGGGACGGGTGGGGGTGGGTGGGTAATTAAAGCATATTGTCTAGGCTCAAGGGCTTCTGCAACTTGAATTCTGCCTTTGGTGAATGGCCCACAAGATTGTTTTCCCCACTGAATGGAGGAAAGCAAGCATACTAAGGGTTTCTTAGGCTAATGACAGAGAAGAGACACCTCAGGGAAGAGACAAGAGCATCATTCAGAGGATATGATTATATTACAAGAGAAATATGACCTATATTGTACTGAATTGG